ACACGTGGATATAATTGTAAATTTAATAAATATAAACGTATTATTGAAACTCTATATTTATAGAAAATAAAATGAACATATTTAGACTATTGATTATGCTTTATTGTAAAGGGTAATTAATGTAACAACTAACAAGCTAGAGAATAATAAAAATTAGGCTTTAGATTGATTGGGTTGAAGATATTTAAATAATCCAATCTAATTTGTGGTTTGAAAAATATTAACTTAACCCAACCCATTCCATCCCAAAAACCGTGCAGGTTAGGTTGAGTTGGTCGGGTTGAAACTTTGGTATATCATTTTAGATTTAGCTAATGTTTATGTTTAAACGAAATAAAATCAAAATGAGAACAAACAAAAAATACTAACAAATTGAAAAAAAAGTTAAATGTTCATGCAAATAAGAAGGTAAAACTACGATATAAACTTTAATACAATTTTGAATATAGCTAATTACAGCATGGTCTAATGTTTAATGTATATATTAATCAAGGACTTTAACAATTATATTAAATTCATAACATAAAAAAACAGCAGGTTCAACAAGTGGGGTTGGATTCAAAATACCTTTTCCCAATTTCAACCTAAAAAATGTGGTTTGACATAATTTTGTATTAACTATGTATCGATTACCTCATGTTAAGTTTTTTCTTTGGGTTTTCTCGGATTGAGTTGAAGAAAAAAAATGAGATCACTTCTTATATGGACTCGCTGAGGTTTTTGCTCACGTGCATTGCGTCGTGTGTTATCCTCTCAAAGTTGACGTCCATGATCAATCCTTTCGATTCAAGTTGTTATACACATTCTTATGTAGATCAATATTTTCAAACAAAATGAAACATGGCCTCAAATTGAGTTAAGTTGGATGTTCGGATATTACCATATTTTACTGTTTCATTGGTCTAATACTGAAACCAAAACTTGTTTTTGTTAGAAAATATAGCGGGATTAAATCACTATTTTTAGGACAATATTAATTAGCTTTATAATCGTTGTTAAGGCTAATTTACCCCATCATTTTTTTGTTTTTGAATAGAAAACACAATAATATTTAATCCATCTTCCTTCGACATATTTTCAATGGTTTAAAATTACATAAGGTCCTTCTCACATAGTTATACTTGAAATAAGGACATGAAAACAACAATTATATAATTATATTTGATTCGATCATCCTAGAGTAACGATAAAACAAAAGAATAAGCAACGGGCTTAACAAACAAAGATTGCACCATTAGATGTTTTGAGCCATTCTTTAGATCTATCTCTGAACTTCTTATTCTTGCAAGAATAAGAAGTCATAATTAAGTATGGTGTTTGTGTTTGGAGATAGTAGAGATAATGAGGGAGATAAAAAAGACAAAAACCATTCATGTTCCATATCGGCAAAACTTGGAACCGGCCTCCATTCTATCCTAATGGCTCGTTTACAATAATTTAATTGGGTTGCACATAATTTTACAATAACATATATTCAAGAGATGAATGATGTGATCTGTTTAGTTGAAAGAAAGAAATCAGCCAAGTGCAAGTCTCAAGGTATGGCTAGCAACATCTCCCAAAGAGTTTCTGCTCATTTAAACTATTACACTACCTCAAAATGTCACTTAGGCAACAAATAAAAAATGTTGCCTAAGAGGGGTTTATATGTTGCGTAAGGCTTAGGTAACAAACCCATGTTGCCTAAGCAGTGTTGCCTTCTCAATGTTGCATAAGAACCAAGACAACATATGCAAACAGAATATGTTGCCTAAGTGAGCTTCTTAGGCAACACACAAAAGGTTATGTTGCCTAAGTAAAAAACATATGTTGCGTCTAGTATCATCTTAAACAACATACTCTATCTTCATATGTTGCCTTAGATATCAGCTTAGACAACATACTCTATCTGACTATGTTGCCTAAGATATCAACTTAGACAACATACTCTATTTATATATGTTGTCTTTAAACTGTAATTAACATAATATAATATTTCTTTTAGGCAACATTTATATTGTTTAATTGTTGCCTAAGATTTTTGTGTACCATGATGCAATTTTTTTTTTCATGCACACTTTCTACAAATGAATCTCAAACAAGCAAACAAACAACCAAATGTTTTATACAAACAACTTTTATAACCGAACAAAATTAATAAGTTCAATCATTGAAAGATATTTTTTTCCTAAATAAGTATAAAAGTAGGTAACAAGTTCAATAACACAAAATAAAAAACTTAACCTAAAGCGTGAGAGGTCGTGGTTGTTGTGTTAGAGTTTGAATCACTAGCATCCAGCATAGTCATCAACGATTGTATCATCTTTCTTTGCTCGACAGCTTCCTTTTTTGCCTCATGTTGTCCCTCTTTTAACAAGCGAATCTTCTCGTCACGTTCGGCAAGTTGGCTCATTAATAGGTATACTCGTCTTTGATGACGCCGAATCTTCTCCCAATACGTTTCACTAAAGCCCAATATGTTTCACAAAAGCCCAATACGTTCCATTATAACCCAATACGGTTGATGAAAGCTCAATACGATTCATTAAAGACCAATATGATCTATTAAATATCAATACGATCCATTAAAGCCCAATACATTACACTAAAGCCCAATCGATCCATTAAAGCACAAAACGTTCCACTAAAGCCCAATACGTATCACCAAAGTCCAATACGATCTATTAAGGCCCAATATGGTTCATGAAAGCTCAATACGGTTCATTAAAGACCAATACGATCCATTAAAGTCCAATACGTTTCACCAAAGCCCTATACATTCCATTAAAGCCCAATACGTTCCATTAAAGTCCAATATGTTCCATTCAAAACCAATACGATTAATTAATTAAAGCCCAATATGATCCAGTAAAGCCCAATAAAACCGTTAAAGCGCAACTAACATTCGTTAAAATCCAATACGTTCCACACAAAATGTTACGTTGCCTAAGTAAATGTAATGGATTTATCGTACAATGTCAGTTGTCTACCTTAAAACTTATGTCAATCTTAAAACTTTCAACTACCGGGAGTTATTATGTTTTTAAGCTTAGGCAACATAGAAACAATAGTATATGTTGCCTTAGTAAATTATGATAAATCTTTTGTACAATGCCAGTTGTGACCTTGGAATTATCAATTTGTTTACCTTAAGCAACATAGAAACAAGAATATATGTTGCCTAAGTAAATTGGGTTGAATTTTTAATTCTTACCTTAGGCAACATATATATATGAATATATGTTGCCTAAGTAACTTTGTTGGATTTATATTTTTTACCTTAGGCAACATAGTATAAGAATATATGTTGACTAAGTAAATTTTGACGGATTTCAAAAAAAAATATGAGTGTCCAACATTGAACTAAGGCAACATAGGCTAACACTACCAAGAAACCCCCTTTTTCCGGTGGCCAAATCCGCCGGAAATCCGCCGGAAAAAGGTATTTCCAGCGGATTTCCGACGGATTTGGCCGCCGGAAAAAGGGGCGCCGGTGTTTTTTTTTCCGACGGTGTTTCCGGCGGATTTTACACTTTTCCGGCGGATTAGGGCCGCCGGAAAATCTCCGCCCGTTTTTTAAAAGAAT